AAAGGGAAGTTCTGTTTTTTGGTTTTGGGTTGTTTTTTTTTTTAAAGAATATGAGATTGGGGCAACTTCCTGCACTGCCTCTTGGTATTTCTATTGCACTTAATTCTTATTAATATTTGCTTAGACAAATAAAAACAATATCTAATATATTCAGGGTTTACCAAGTGCCACTGTCCAAAATACTTCACCTGTATTACCACACTGTGTAATTTATATTCCAAAACATACCTCAAAGCCATCTGCTTCCCTCCATCTTCATTGCTAGCTAACCAAGGCCTAGCCACAGCCTTGTCTGCCTCGCAACTCCCAAAAGATCTCTTTAATTCATGCTCTCCTTTCCAAACCCATTTTCCACAGAGTAGACTGCTATTTTTAAAATATTGCCTTTTAGGGCACCTGGGTGGCTCAGTCAGTTAAGCGACTGCCTTCAGCTCAGGTCGTGATCCCAGGGTCCTGGGATCGAACCCTGCATCGGCGTCCCTGCTCGGTGGGGAACCCGCTTCTCCCTCTCCCTGTGCCTACCTGTGCTCACTCTCACTCACTCTCTCTCTCTGTCAAATAAATAAATAAATAAAATCTTAATATATATATATATATATATGTGTGTGTGTGTATATGTGTGTATATACACACACACACATATATATATACAGCCTTTTAAACCTATGGCCTAAAAGGTTCCAGTACCTCTCAAACTTCATTTCATATCCTCCTCTCCCTTACCCGAGCTACAGCAGTTTTCTTTTCTGCTTCTGAATACTAGTAGTCTGGTCTCTAGGGTTCCTGTTTGCTCTACCTGGATTGTTCTTCACCGCAGGTCTTCACCTGGCTTGCTCATTTTCATTTTTCAAGACTTGACTCAGTCACTGCTTCCTCAGCATATCTAAAGAAATGGCCTCTCCTAGCTACTTTCTAGCCCATCACTCGGTTTACTTCTTTCCTAGCACTCAGCCATGTTTTCTCATTCCTGGTGTCTGCCCAATAAAGGAGGATACTATGTCTGTCTTCTTCAGCAGCACAGCACCAGCAACAATGCCTCAGACCTCTTTGCTGAACTGAACCTCACTCACTAAAAGTTAGGAGGAACATAGTATAGTTAGCCTCATTTTACAGCTGTAAATCCTATCATTAACTTGAACTATATAGAATCAGGGTGTCAGCCTGCCAGAATGGTCTTTGGTTAGTTCTTCAAAGGGGGGGTGGTGGGCACAACAAAACAAAATTCTTGTCAGATTAGAGACAAGAGTAAAATACAAAAATTTAATTTATACTTTTCACTTAAAGCTACATTTCTATTAACCTCAGATTTAAGCAAAAGCACATGTCCATTAATTTGGTATACTGTACTTAAAGGAGAATCCTCCCATCTCAAATTTTTGCCAAATGAGGCAAGGCATAAATATATGAAAAATAAAGTAAGTGTTCTATGAAAAGTCAGAGAAATTTAAAAAGGAAATATTTACTACAGAAACTAAGTCACATTTTTATAATATAAGAGGATTATGTTTATTATAGATTGAAAAACACAGTTAATAAAAAATTTTTTCTAGAGAAACTTATTGTTAATATCACAGTATATATTCTTAATTGTACTTTTTTCTAGTTTTACCTAATAGTATAAAAGCATTTTCCCCAAGCAGCTGGGTGGCTCAGTTGGTTAAGCCACTGTCTTCGGCTCAGGTCATGATCGTGGAGTCCGGGGATCGAGTCCAGCATCAGGCTCCCTGCTTGGCAGAGTCTGCTTCTCCCTCTGACCCTCCCCCATCATGTTCTCTCTCTCTCATTCCCTCTCTCATAGAAATAAATAATATATATATATTTAAAAGCATTTTCCCCATCACTATTCTTCTAAATTGATTTTTTTAATGTTGCATGTATCAACAGCCCATAATAAAGGCACCATAATATATTTAAGTTTCCAACTCTCTATAACTATAAATGTTATCAATTTATTACTATGAATAATGAACTTGTGCACACATTGTAATACCCATCTGATTATTTTTTTATATAGTTTTAAATAGAATCACTCGGGGTGGGGGGGGCAGCACCTGGGTGGCTCAGTTATTTAAGTGTCTGCCTTTGGCTCAGGTCATGATCTCAGGGTTCTGGGATTGAGCCCGTGTAGGGCTCTGTGTGGAGTGTGCTTGTCCCTGTCCCTCTGCTCCTCCCCCACAACCCCCTCCCCAAGCTCTTTCTCAAATAAATAAAAGCTTTTAAAAAAATAGAATCACTGGGTCAGAAAGTATAAACCTTTAAAGTTCTTTTTTTTTTTTTTTTTTTTTAAGATTTTACTTATTCATTTGACAGAGAGAGCACACACATATAGGTGGCGCAGCAGGCAGAGGGTGAAACAGGCTCCCAGATGAGCAAGGAGCAGGATTTGGGGCTCCTTGATCCCAGGACTCTGGGATCATGACCTGAACCAAAGACAGAAGCCTGACTGAGCCATCCAAGCACCCCTCAAGTTCTTTTCATAAGAGAATAACTGACCACCAGAACACTGAATTATATGTCCCAATGAATAGAAAAAGAGAGTTCCTGCTTTCCTGCATCCTCAATATGAGGTATCAATATGAAAAAATAGCCAATATGAGACAGGCAATGAGTAGCAAATCCTTAAGCTTTTATTTCTATGCTTATTGGTAAGTATGGTACATTTTACATTTTTATATGCCATCTGAACTCCCTTATGAACTCATTCATATCCTTCACCCATTTTTTTTTAAACTGGAAGATACACTGGTATGTATGTAAGAATTCTTCATAAATTAGGGATACTAATTTTATAACTGCCCTGTCCAGTACAGTAGTCACTGTTCACTGAGCCCTTGAAATGTGACTATTCTGAACTAAAATGTGCTAAATGTAAAATATACACTGCACTTCGAAGATTTAGTACAAAAAGATGTAAAATATCTCAAAAATTTGATCTCAATTACATATTTAAATATTTTTGAATATACTGGATAAAGTAATATTAAAATTAATTATTAAACTAAATATTATCTGTTTTTACTGTTTCACATATGGCTATCAGACAACCCAAGATTACATACGTGGCTCATGTTATCTTTCTTTTGGACAGCGAGACTCTACAATACTATTTTCCTTTTCACCTTTAAACTGAGCTTTCAGTGTACAGGCATTTCTCATTTTTAAGTATGCCGATAAAGCAAGAGTTTCCCTTAAGGTTTCCTTCTCTCCTTATTCTTTGTAAGTCTACCCCCTCTGCCATACAGGAATTTTAGAAGCATAAATTTTATTTCTTGACAAAGAAAAACATCTGTTTTTAGATTTTTTTCCCCCGAAAGTTTTCAGATATCACTTTCTTCTTTCATGCATCTGGCTTAAATAGTACCCTTTCCTAATGTTTTTTAAATTTTACCATAATGGCTGTCCTTTTAAAAACTGTTTCAGTTATTATTGGAACTAAATTTTCACAAAGGAGGTTATTTTTAAAACCTACTATGTGTTAAGTGTGAAAACACATTTTAATTTTCTGGTGATAAACATTCCAAAGAACTTTGCAAAGTCATTCTGACCAAAGAAATAGGTACTTATTATCTGTGGTTCACAGACGGGTGAAACAAAGAGTACATAATTTTTGGTATGATGATGGTTATTATTGCTATATAATTACAAATTACACAATTCCAAGTCCTTTCTACCGACTTAGAAGGCAGGTTACCCAGTATACCTAACTTAAGTGTAAAATGCCAAAATTGCTTGGTAAATAGAATCAACTATGCTAGAAAGTTTACTTGGGGATTTCTGGAGTATGGTATAATAATAAGATTGATTTTGTTCCTAAGGGAACCAGCTGTATTGCCAATATAGAAAAAAAACTCAGCTTTTCTATCCCCAACAAAAAGTCACAGAACATGATGTTAAAATTAACCATTCTGAAATTTTAAAAGTTTTTACATTTACTGCAAATAAACGATACTAATATATTCTCATTTATCTTCACAGTACAGGTGTCACTATAACTTGTTACTTTTAAACTTGGATGACTGGACTACAAGTTCTAACATCTATTGCCAAGCCACAAACATGCTACAAGCTTTTTCAAACATGAATTTTTGGAAAATGTTATCTGTAAACACTCTATGCTCAAGAATCTAAGGAATTAGACGAGGGGTGGATTTGGTTCTGTTTTTCTCTCTGTTCTCGAGGGGTCAAGCTATTATGGCATCCCAAGCTATGGCAAAAACGTAGGTAAGCCTGACTAAAACTTAAAAATTCAATGCTATTTTGGAAACTGCGGAACAACTTAAATTTGAGTAAAAAAAGAATGCTTAAGGAGAGGGATAAAAATTCTCGTCAACCACGTTTTTCTGGGTTACAGCTCCATTAACACGTTTTCACCATAAAGGTCTTTCAACGAAACTGAACAGTTAGTTTGCTTTATGATCCAAAACTGGATTCATTCAATGACTGTGGCATGGTCATATCCTCATACTTAAGAATGATTCGTAAATGATGAGTAGCACCCCCATCCCTCACTCCCTCCTTCCTTTTTAGGAAATTTAAGGGAAAAAGTTAGGAGAACGGGAAAAGGAGCAGGGCAAGAAAATCTGTTGAGACAAAGGCGCTCAATGAAGGGGAGCCGATGAACTCGAAAGACCCTGGCACTTTTAGGTTTCCATAATTTCTCATTGCCTGGGGGAGAAGGGCTGTCATCGCGGGACACCGCGATGCGCATGTAGCATTTTATCTGGTACAAATGGTTGGCTTCAAGTATGTGACCCGGCCCGGGAGCTACCTGCCAGTTTCCGTGGGAGTTGTGCTAGGGCCTTGGGGAAAACCAGGGTCTGGGAGAGCTGTCAGACGTCCCTGCCACCTGGGCGAGCTGAACTGCAAAGACACAGACCCAAAAGGAAGGTTCTGGGGTTGGAGAAGGGCAAGCGGCCGAAATGCCCGAGGCGAGGCGCCGAGCTCGGCCTGCTCCTCCAGGCCGGCTGCCGCGGAGTCAGCGGCCGAGGTGGGACACTCACCCTGGCGCTCGCTGGAGCCGCAGGCCGCCGCCCTGCAGCGCAGATGGAGCCGGCAGAGGGAGGACCAGCTACATCTGTGGGCCGCAGTGGCGGCGGCCAAGCCCGGTAACATCCTGGCGGGGCAAAGGCCCCCACTCGGACACCACCTCCTGCCTCCGCGACGCCGCGGGGAACAACTGACTCCATAGACTGGACACCGGGTAACACTCACGCCTGCGCCGCCGTAGGCGGCCTCACTGACCCGGAAATGGTAACAGTATTTATCGGCGCCCGTCGGGCAGGCGGCGGAAGTGACGTAAAGAGGAACACAAACCCAGAGCCCGGGTCTCCGCAGACCCGGACCGGCGGCGTGGGCAGGGCGTGGCTGCAGTTGGGGTTTGGTGTCCGCCGGTTTTTTTTTCCCAGCATCTGTGTCTTTTCACTTTCGGTGGAAAGCATCGCGTAACTTGTTTTCATCTAAACGGGACAGCTTTGGGAGACGTGACAGGGACTTTTCCTGCGTCTGCCTGCTCCTGTTTTCTGAGCTCGGAACTCGAGCGGTGGTGGTGGACATGCGAAGAAAGGTGGAAAGGAAGGATGCTGGCTTTCTTTACCTCGTTCGGAGCCTTCCTGGATGAGCCTAAGCGGCAGCTCACGTACCGAACTCACTAGTCTCCGAACCTGGCCGCAGTACTTCGTTCTCCTCTTTGTAAGACACCTTCGGGTAGCCGGTACATGAAGGCAAGTACTCACTTTGGGATCAGTATGGCCGTGCTAACCTCTGAACCTCAGATTCTCGTGTGTAATGTAGTAAAGTAAGACTTTCATGTGTTCACGATTTGCCTGAGTAAACGGAGATGTGCAGACTTCGGAGCAGGAGCCAGTCTGGTTCTAGGGAGAAAGAGACAGAAACGATATTCACCGCGGTAAGCACCGCGGTGTTTACCCCTGACACGCGAGTTCAAGTCTCAGCGCAAACTCGGGAGAGGCTTTCCTTAACTGCCCTGACTGTATGTGGTAGGGCTGGTTATTTTCTACCCGATTGCCTTGTATATTTTCTTCAAATGCTTATCAGTGTATTTTTTTTTTTAATTTTCTGTCTCTCAGAATCGAAAATAAGCATCAGGATACTAGAATCTTAGGTTTTGTACATTGCTTTTTCCAAGGGGGTAAAACAGTAGCTGGCACAACCAATAAATGGAGTGGAATGCATGGTCATTTGTTTTGAAATCAGTTTGAGTAGCTCAACTATGTTACTTCACAGTAGTTATTTCAAAGGGAAACAAATTAGCATGTTACTAATTTTGAGAGAATCAAGTCTTTTTTGCTAATTGAGGTAATCAGATTAGTGAAGTCATAGTGATGAAATTATCACAAGAATGGTAAAGTTAATTTATGACAAACAGTTCAAAATGTTAAATGGTCAGGGTACCTCAGTGGCTTAGTTGATTAAGGCCCTACTTTTTTTTTTTCCTTAAGATTTGGTGTTTGTGTTTTGTTTTTTTGTTGTTTGTTTTTTTGACACAGGGCGTGAGAGAGCAAAAGGGGGACGTGGGGGGGTGGGCGCGCCCGAGAGAGAGGAGCCAGATGAGGCCCAGTGACAGGACACTAGGATCGTGACCTGAGTCAAGGCAGACACCCAACCTACTGAGCCGCCCAGGTGCCCCTAAGCGGCCCACTCTTGATTTCAGCTCAGGTCATGATCTCGGGATGGTATGATGGAGCCCTCGCCCTCTGCTCCTCTCCTGCAGTACTCTCACCACCCTCTCTCAAACAAAAATCTTTAAAAAATAATCATTTTACCACTTATTTGATTCCTTCCTTCTCTTAAAAAAATATTAAGTGGACATATAAAAATGCTGTGCCATAAATATTCATAACCTCAAGATTACTCAAATACCTGCATATTACTGGAAAGTTCTTATCTCTTCCTTGTAAATAGATCTTAACAGAAATTCAACTCTAGGATATAAAATACATAAAGGCTTAGCTCTTATTTTATGTAAATATCCATTGACCTTCACTATAATGCCTACCTGCTTTGGATTCTTAAAGTAGCCCCTGGTTTCTTAACTTGAACTGTATTAATTTTGATAAAACTTCAGAAGCCTTGACTTGCCAAATAAATTTGAGGAACACAGCAGATCATGCTGAGTTTTCTTGTTTATGCCTCAAAATGCTCTGTCAAATAAGGTCTCCATGGACTTGGATTAAAATATTTCTGCAGCTGTCTTGGTGTTTACACCTATATTGTCATTATATACTTGTCCTGCTGGACAGTCCTCAAAATTTCCCCAAGTGCTGAAAATAGAAGCAGTCTGTTTTAGAGCTCCTTAGGAGAATTTCCTTTGATCCTAAATGAGAAATCCTATCCTTACCAAGAGACTTTGCCTTACTGCTCCACTCAGACACGTTCAGCAGTTGCCTATATGTATTAAATGGATTAGATTCCAATATCATGGAGCTTATTTTCTATCAAACAAGACAAAATTTCAAAAATTCAAAAACACAAGATTTCAAATAGTGATATTATTAGGGGTGCCTGGTGGGCTCAGTCGGTAGAGCATGTGACTCTTGATCTTGGGGTTCAGTTTGAGCTCCATGTTTGGGGTAAACCCCATGTTGGGTTTACTTAAAAAATGTTAGTAATAATGTTGATCATTTACTAATCGCCACACTCTCCATGTGCATTATCTCATTCATAACACTTGAGCAAGTTATAGATAAGGAAACTAAGGCAGAGATCTTGCTTTTAACCACGCAGGTTACTTTCCAAATCAGTGGGTTTTATCCTTTGGGTGAAAATAAATACCGGGTCTTTCAAATGATTTGAATGACAACATGATCTTTTGTCTCCTGAAATGTAGGTCAAGAGAGCATGTCCCTACATTTCTTAATGTATGATCAACATGATACTGAACTTCAAAAAAAAATAAAGTTTCATGAGGATTTGTGATATAGATGCCTAAATATAGATAATTATTAAGTCAGAGAGATGGAAATAGAAGTAGGAAAGGAGGGAAGTGTCATTTGATTTTAGCATACACCACAACACCTGCAGTGTTTTCCATGAACTCTGAAGAAGTTCCTACATCTTTCAGGAATTTGCTTCTGTAATTGAGCTGTTTCTTGGTTTCACCTTGTCTATTGCTTTGGGAAAACAGTGATTCTGATCATGAGACAAACTTGGCCATTTATTTGGAAAATTGACTTAGTCCATTGCAATATAGAATGAGTGGTTCTATCATGAGGTATACTAAGAACACAAATTTAATTTTGAATGCATCTATCTGTGGGCATCATGTTTGTTTCATGCAGGATTGGGGGTGGAGGGAGCTTGCCCACCTAAACACTTCAAAAAGAAAATGGCATACATGTGGCTAAAAGGGAGACTCCCTGGCCACAGCCAAGAGTGTCAGCACCTGCTGTACAAACGTAGTCAGAAGCAGTGTGGGTCTGCACACACATAGTCTGTATGTGTAGGCAAACATCTGCATAAGTAAAGAAAGTGAAATGTGAATTTGATAGGATGTCTGACCAGGCTGCTAATCCTCCTCTCCATTTTTCAGAGCTGTTGAGTGATTTTCCCAAGACCACTCAGCAAGGATGGGCTAGAACACGGAATCAGACACAGGTCCTCTGACTCCACATCTGTATGTGTGTGAGCATGGGCTGCAAGGGGGAGAGGCAGAGGTTGGTTGTTCTGATGGTTTTTTTCTCCACATTATTTGTGAAGTAACTTGTTTCTTGATCACAATTCTTATGTGTTATAACTATATAGTAACTCCACTTGCATTCAATAGGTTCCCTCTGCCAATTCCATCCAGGAATAGAAAGTGATTTCTCCAGTGATGACCATATTCCTGGGTCCTAGCTCTCTTATCCATCTTAGCTTCTCCAATAATGGCCCCTTCTGCAATTCACTTTGTTAAGTTGGGAGAAGATTTTTATAGATAAATTTATATGCATCTTTCACCACGTGGGCCCCTGGCTCCTTTCCTCAGAGGTTAGTGATCAGTGGATTACAGGCATTACAGTTGGGCAAATCAATTTACCAAATACTCCTGGGGACAGAGGAGACTGCAGTGTTTGATAACCTTTATCCTTGAGAAAAATAAGCTGGGGACTGAGAGCAAGTAGTATTGGTACCTTGGGGCAGGGCAGCATTTGTGGAAGAGAGTCCGTTTCTTCTGCAAAGCCACAGGTGGGGGCACCACAAGAAATTCTCGTAGGTTTTTAAAATTTTCAATTTTTATTGAAGTATATAATACACAGATGAAAGCACAAATCTTACAGGCACACCTCTAAGGATTTTAACTAAGGAACAAAACTATGTTACCAGTACACAGCATTACCAGCTTCCCAGAAGATTCTCTTCCACTGACTACTCTCCCGCCCCTCAAGGGAACACAAATCCTGCATCTAACAACATAGACTGATCTTCCCTGTTTGGGGACTTTCTGTGCATGAATTGTGTACACTGCATTCTTTCATAGGACATATGAAAGAGTCTAGTTTCTTTACTTCAGTATTATGTTTATGGGATTCTTACGGTTTTCATTCTCACAGCTATGTAAGATCCCATGGTATGGATATCCCACAGTTTACCCATTTTCCTGCTGATTAGCATCTGGGTAGTTTCAATTCGGGGCTACTACAAACGATCATGGACACGTGTACGTGTTTCTGATGGATATACTCCTAGGACTAAAATTACTGCACACTTCCAGCTTTAGCAGTTACTAGCAGTTTTCCAAAATAGTTGTAAAAAATATACACTCCCAAGTGCGGTATGTGAAAGTTCTTTCCTCATGACCACACCAGCATTTGCTACTATCTTCTTTTTTAGCCTCATGGTAGGTATGGAGGCGCATGGCATTGTAGCTTTAGTTTGCATTTCCTTGATGGTAAGTGAAGCTGGTTACCTTTTTAAATATATATTTGTCCATTTGGATATCCTTTCATACTCTATTCAAGACTGTTATTGCCCACCTTTCTTTTGATCTGTATGATTGGTTTGTATGATTCTTAATTGATTTGTATATTCTGGAAACAACTCCCTTGCTGGATATATGTATTACAAATATCTTCCACTCTGTGAGTTCTTACCATTTTTTAGTGGTGTCTTTTAAGGAAAGGAAGTTCTTAATGTTCCATTATCAAATTCTCCAAGTTAACAATTTATTTCACTAATAGTTAATATATTTTGTGTTCTATTTTGAAAATCTCTACTTACGCTATGGTACTTAAAA